ATATATTAAAATTCTAATTACATAATTTTATTTAAAGCTATTTATGTAAATAAGAAAAATATTAAAAAAGTGGTGCATTTAATAAAATTTGTAGTGGTTTACTTATTAAGGTATCCTCGTGGATTTATAAAATTTTTATCAGTAGAGTGATTTTAAAAGATTTGGACGGATATCAAGCTTAAAAATATATATAACAATTTTTTTAAAAATTTCACCATATTAGGAATTGTTTGAACCCCATTTTTCCTCAAAAAATGCATTTTAAAATAATGTTATGATAGAAAATGTATGGTTAAAGAATAGAAAAAATTTTGAGTTCACGTGTAATATTATTTTATTGAAAAATGTGTAATTGAAATGATATTAAATTACTGTTGAAAATTGTATTTTCATGGGTTCAAACAAAGGCTTGATGAGATTCTTATAGAATTTGTATAATCTTTTAAAATTCATCAAAATCTTAGCACACCCCCATGAATATATCCCTATTACAAGTTTAAAATTTAAAAAATATTACATTCATTTCTATTATTCCTATATTACTCTTATTAAATTCATTTAAACAATATACATTCACAAAGTTTAGCCAAAAATAATTTATTTATAAAAAATAAAATAAAAAGAACATATTCGATCTAAGATCATGAGTCTTACGAAACCCTAGAATTTAGAAACGAGTATATTGACTGTGACCCTATGACTATTTTGTATGATTTGACTATATTTTGTGTATTTTTGGCTGTGAAAATGATAACTTACAACTTTGATTTGAAGATTTTAAAGAAAAAAGCGAGTTTGGTAAGAATGTTTTAGATTTACTTTTTCTTGGACGTGAAGTCAAAAATAAAATTGCCAACTCATAGAAACTATTGCCCACTATAAGTAAATGAAGAAGGAAAATACCTGTATTGGCTGTGCCAATGTAGTGTTCAATGACTTCCACCTTCTTATAGCCATCCTAAAACTGCAACACTAATAAATATATCAAGAATATGAATTATATCAGTAAAATTAATATCATATGATTCAGGGGATGAATTTAAGTGTGTAGATTTTATTTGGTTTTATTATTGAAATAAATTTATATAAGGTTAAAAATGTAATATATATATATATATATAT